CAGCACCTCCAACTTCGATGATGTGGGTGTCCTGTAGAAGAAGCTGGTGCCCTTCAACACAGAGTTAAATACTCATCCTGCCCAGGAATTAGAGAAGCTGAAGGAAGATCCCAGGGAAAGTGGAGCAGCTGCAGGCCTGACTGCAGGCCTGACTGCTGCCCCACACCAACGAGGTGAGCCAGCAGATAAGTGACAACATGTGTGAACTGCAACAGTGCCTGGTGCGCCTGCACCAATCTTCCGAGTGTAAAAACAGTATGCTGCTGCTTCACTTCTGTCCTCCAGTTACCATGCAAAATGTCTCTTGTGGCCCATCCTAACCGGAAGCATACGGGGAAGGGAGTTCTGGGAAACGTAGCCTAGTCAAGGTGACACATTACAAAGCCACCCTGCCATGAATCAGCTCCCAAGGGCCTCACTGCTCACCTGAGGATAACTTGATAAAGCTACGTTGCTGGAAATGCAAAGCTGAAGACCATGGATTTCATGGTGACCCCAGCAAGTACAGAAATACTGTCAAGCCCACCCAGAAAAAAACTGGCTGGTCTCGGCTATTTTTGTGTCATTCATTCAAGTAATGAGAACCTGGCCCATGGTAGGCACTGTACTTATACTGGGATACAGGAATGAAAAAGATATAGTCCATGCAATTTTATTAAATACATCAGTATGTATTACAATGGTGAATGGATATCCAACTTTATCATGGAATTTAATGGTGAAAATATAGAATTCAGGAAACTGTTGGGAGGACAGCCCTTGCGTGAACCTTGTTGGGGCACAATAGGAATTGGAAATAATATAAATAGTTTCTATCTCTGAGCTGTTCTATTTTAAAATTATTTTAAAATGATTTTTATTGTCCCGTTTACTGTTTCATATATTCAGTGTTTCTTTGGGGAGTGTCTTGATGGTGGTAACAGTGTTGACTCTTGAGAAAGTGGGATGGTGGGTGCCAAGATCAGGGTCAGGTTCTGTCCAAGGACCTTGGGCCAATCGCTTCTCCAGGCCTTGGGGCTTGGCTGAAGGCATAGGCTCACCGTGCGGGGCGCTGGTCCCGGCCCCGCCCCTCCACCCTCCGAATAGGCCCGCCAGGGGGCGCCGGGGCTGCGGTCAGCCCACCACCGCTCTCGGGAGACGCAGCCCCTCACCCCTAGCCGGGGCGGCTCGGGGGCGTGGCCTCCGCCCGGCTGAGACACCAATCCTTGGCCGGGCTGGGAGGAAAGCCGACTCTTCTTCTTCACGTAGTGGTAAAACAGGCAAAACCGAACTGGAGCTAAGTTACGGGGCACGCCCGGGGTAAGGGTGCAGCACGACGAGCTCTGGACCGACGCTGGGACGTTCGAGGGCAGCAAAGTGTCGCCAAGGGTCGGCTTCCCCCGTCACCGAACTCCTTTCGACGGGATCCTACGGGCTGTACGACCTCTGGGGTGCCCGACTGGCTCTCGTGTATCTCTGCTGCTTTTCCCAAACCCCGCGCCTGACAGGGCTTTTTCATTGCCTCCCTTCTTTCCCAAGGGTGTGGTGTGAGGGGTGGTTCCACAAAGACCAACCAGCGGGCCAGTCGCCCGTGGGACTCGAAGATCAAGGAACTGACCCTCAGGACTCTGTCCAGGGAACCGAGACGACCTCTAATTTCTTTCTTTTTTGTTTGTTTCAGGCTACGTAAACTCTTAGCAGTAAATGAAAATGAGTATTTTACCGAACTGCAATTGAAAGAAGAAGCATTATAGGAGAAAAAAGACAAAATGAGAATTATTAAAAGAGATTATTAAAAAGAGAAAAAAGAGACATTATTTTGTGGCTGAAAAGCTGAACCAGCAATTCAGGAAATGGAATCCAAATCTAGAAACGTACCGCATACAAAATCCGAAGTGGGTGGATTACAAATGATTAAGGAATGCTAATTTACAGTAAATTGCGGCCTTGCGACGGTATACACAATAGTTGTACTTTGGTTATTGTTAGATGTCAGTGACTGACAAGGTTCTGATTTTTTTTACGCTCTAGTGTTCTGTGCTCGCCCCCACTTTAGAATAGAGTACCAAAGCGTCATTCTTAATTGGCTTTTAGTTACTACCACCTTGCTCTTGACTGAAGTACAGCTGTGGGCTCCACCTGTGCCTAGGGCGCCTTCTAGGTTCCCTGAGCTGTGTTGCCTGTTCCCCTCAGATACGGATTCTCAGGGCCTCATTGCCTGCGCTTCCCATCCATGTCCTCACCCTGGTTTACTGTGAACCGTACCTCAGACTCTTGGTCTTTATTTTGCCCAGCCAGGTCATGTCATTGCCCTCTTAGGCCATCTGATCTGTCCCCCATCCTAGGGTACCCCGAGTCAGCTGTGGTTTCTGCCCAGTGCAGTAGGAAGATGCTAGTAACAGATTTATCATTACTGGTTTGGGTGGGCTGACAAGACAGGCTCTCTAGGCCTTGTCTTAGCTGGAAAATGAGGATAATAACACCTGCTGTTCCATAAACCCTGTAAGACATTTGTGAGGTCCAAGGGTTTTATGTGTGAAAATACCTTGCAAATTACCGTAAAGAACTACACAAATATAAGGTGGTTGTCATGGGATGATTATTACCATCATCAAGATTCACCTAAAAATGCCCGCAACATTTAACCTTCCCACAGAGTATCCACTAACTTTTCTCATGCTTTTAAGCTGATTACAGGATATAAATAGCAAAGTCAATGGAATGTAATTAGATCTTCGCCTTCACTTCGGGTTAAGGAGGCTTATTTCTGCTATTCTGATGAACCCTAGAGGAAGGGAGCGCGGTCGCCGGAGGCCTGGCCAAGGGCGGGGTGAGGACCGCGCAGACTCAGCTCCTCGGCTCCGGGAGGAAGTTGCGAGCACCGGCGTCTATGGTCACCATGGTGACGGGACCGACTTCGGCCCCTCCCACCTGCCCCTCACCCTGCAGGGCGCACCATGGCAACCAGACCTCTGCATTGCGGAAGCTGGTCCCGCAGGTCTCCACTGTTGGGGAAACCGCGGCGGACGCCGCCCCCATCCCGAGGGACTCGAAAATGTACAGCCAGCGATTTGGCATCGTACAGCGGGAGGTTAAGGGCCCCACTCCCAAAGTGGTGATCGTGGTAAGCACGGGATGTGTGTGCGGGACCCTACTGCTTTCTGCATCTCCCTGCACTCCAGGCCTAGCCGAGCCCAACCGGGCCCCAGCCGGGGCTCTCTTAAGGGGAGCAGGTGCCTTGTGCGGTGGGTTGAATTTTGAAAGAAGGAAGGATAAGGCCATTCACCTAGTTCCTGTACTCTGTTCCTCAACCCCCCACCCTCCACCCCACCCCCACCTCACACCAGTTATATTTAGATTCTGTATTTGTAGAATCACCACTTGGGATACTGAGAGTTTTCAGTCTCCAAGACACCCAAAGGAGGTCTGTCCCCTTGTGATGTGGCATGGCTGTCACACAAAGCGTGCTGGGCTGGGGCAGGGCAGGAAATCGGGTCTTGGCTGGTGGTGATTCAGCTGTGTCTGAATCTTGGGCTGGTCCTGCATTCCCAGGGAAATTGTGTATGGAAGGGGGATTGGGCTGTGAGGGGTTGTGAGCAGTTACAGTGACCTTCCTGTGCCAACTCAACTGTAACAGAAGTGTCCCTGCAGGCCTGGCAATAGGACAGTTGGTTGCCTCTAGGGCTGGGGTGGTGGTAGGCCAGGAGAATGCTATGTGCTGCAGAATTTGATGGGTTTTGCTCAGAACCGCAGACACTTGGTCTATGCACCTAGATTCCTTTGTTCCTACAAGTTTCTACAGGCTAGAAAACCTTCATGTGTAATTAGGCAATTATAGAGGTATTACTTGAGCCCCTGCTGTGTCCACAGCACTGTGGGAGATACAGGGGTAAATACAATGACCCTGGGAGGTTTATTCTTCATTAAAAGTATGATCCCTGCCTTCCTGTTGCTTATTATCTAATTGCAGAAACAATTTGTTCATGCATAAACCATTAAAGGCTAACATGGTAGATAATCATGTGCTATATGTCTGTGATGGTACTTTGTGGAAGAAATAACAGGAATAATGAAGGATGCAGTTTTATTATGTACCACAGTGCACATAGCAATTCTCAGTCCACTTACAGACCTACTCCCTCTTCTCTGGGTCCAAGGACTGTATAGGTTCTGGGTCTGGAAATCAGTACATTGGAGGCTTCTACAGATTGTAGGGTTCAAGGTGGTAATTATAGGCAGATTTCATAAGGGACAGAAACTCATCTACTTTGGGTTCTGTATCCCAACACAGCTCAGGGACTGGGCTATTGTTCGAGTGCCATTACTTGTGTTGGGAACAAATAAGGAACATGAAAAAAAAAAAATTACCACCAAACCAGAGAAGCAGGCCAACTGAATACTTTGAGCTTATAGAAGAATAAAGAGGAAAAGGGAAAAGTCAGCGTTGTGCATCTCAGATGTCAGAGTGTGATAAGAAGTATGGATGTTAGAGATAGCAGCGTTGCGGTGGGGGAAGAATTAAAGCCACCAGAAATGAGACTTGATGCTAAACAATTCCTCCAGGAGAAAGCAATAAATGATGTAACGTCTGAAGTAACGGAGAACTAAAGGAGCAGTTACGTGGTGAGTGCTGCTTAGGGACCCAGTTATTTAATTCTCAAAATAGTTTTTTAGGAGCACATTTATTTTGCTTCTTTTGACAGGTGAGAAAACTGAGATTCAAAGAGATTACGTACCTTGTTTAAAATCACACAGTTGTTATGGGTAGAGGCCAGAATTAAACCTAGACTGTAAAATACTGTTCTTTAAGACATACAAACTGTAAACTCTCTCATTAGAAACTGTAATTTAACATGTTACAGTGACAGAGCCTTCAGTGACCTTGGAAACACAAGGTAGTGATTAAATCCTATGTTCTCCTGCCTTTAGCATGGTTTAGAGTTGCAGTGTCCAATATGGTAGCCACTAGCCATACATGGCTTTTGAGCACTTGAAATGTGCCTAGAGTCACATGTTGAAATGACAATATTTTGAATATATTGGCTAAATAAAACATATTATTAAAATTAACTTCCTGTTTCTTTTTACTTTCTAAAATGCAGCTACTAGAAAATGTTAAACTATGGATCTGTTTTACATTATATTTCTGTTAAACAGTGTGGATTTTGAGTAATACTGAGACTGTGCATGGATTGGTATCACCTTGTTGTTAGAGAACTCCAGTTCATATCTTACTCCTCCAGACACTGGGCCCTTCCTGACTACAGAGTCCTATACAGGATACCCCAAGCTTTGAAGGGATTCCTGAAGCCTGGCTACTACTCAGGATATTTCTTACCACCCTCACCCTCATTCATCTTTTCAGTCAAAATGTACCTCAGAACCAGGTTCCTGCTCTGACAACTCAAGACAATTGATTCTTGATGACCTTGGTGCTTGGTTCTCAGCGCATATGTCTACTGGGAGCCTGAATTCCTGTGTGTATCCTGAACAAGGTGTAGTCTTGACCCTTTTCCACTTCGTTATCATTGAATCTTCATTCATACAATGCCATACATATTAGAGAACAGTAGTTTGTTAATTAAGTGGCTCTAGGCTCTAAATAATTCTGATATGGATTAGCTACCTACCATGATATAACCCCCAACATCATCTGTCTCCAATGCACCTCAGCCCTGTCTTATCTTGTTCAGCTAAATCTAGGTACCTGTATGTGTACCTTGAATCTTTTCATCAGGCTATCTACAAATGTTGATTTTCTTTCTTTTCTAGGAGTCTCCTTTACCAAGACTTAACACTAGTATTTTGATAATCCTGACAGTGATGTTAGTGTAATGTTAGAAGTGTAAATTATCAGATTGACTTTCTGCCATATGAGTTAAGAATTTTGTTACTTGTAAATCAGCATCCTGCAGTCTCACTATTCACCTAAGTTTGACTTGATAAAACTGGCTTGAAAATACAAAGCTCAAGACAGTGGATTTCATGATGGCCCCAGGAGGAGCAGAAATTGCATCAAGCCTACCCAGAAATGTTTCCTTCCTCCCTCCTTTTCTCCCTACCTTCTTTCCTTCCTTCACACTGAGAACCAACAGTGGTAAGGCATTATACTTCAACGCTAGGAATACAGAAATGAGAAAGATTGTCCATGTAATTTTATTAAATATATCAATATGTATTCAAAGTAGGGCGTTTCCAACTTTTTAGTGGAAGTTTGTATTTAAAAAAATGTAGAAATTCAAATTACCCCAAAATATCAGGAGTACTGCCCTTGCATTAAACTGGGCACAAGAGAAATAAAGCATTACTATCAGTTTTTTCCCCTTTTTTCTTTTCCTTTTTTCCCTTCCCTCCCTCCTTCCCTTCCTTCTCAGTAGAGAGTTTTTTTATTGTCACAACTCATTATATATATCCTATATACTTAGAGATAGTAGCCTCTTCTAGTTGAAATTATTTTGATGGTAACTATGTTGTCTACCCCTGAGAAACAATGTGGGATAGTGGGGGGCAAGATGAAGGTCAGGAATTAGAAGATCTCTAATTCTTGTTCTATACAGGTTTGCCCTGACTATTGGAAGCACTTTGACAAATCACTTAATGTTTCTGAGTTTGACTAAATAATCTCTAGAGTCTTGCTCAAATTTTTAACTTTATAATTCCATGAACTTTTACTCAAGTGGCACTTAGGAAATATTTGAGACTGATTTGATGACATCTTAAGTATAGGCTCAAAGAATCAAACATGTTAAACCTTAGGCACTTAAGCTCTTTGCAGCTGTAGCAGGATTACTTTGATACATCCAATTTTATTTAGTATTGGTGGAGGTCATGATTAGTTGAAAATATGCAATCGGTTTTGGATCGATTGTAAGTGATAATTATTTGTTTTCAGAGAGCCAAGCCTCCCCAAGTTCATGGGGCTGAGCAACATCTGGAAAGAATCCAACGCAGCCATCAGAAACATCATGCTATTTTGGCTTCTATTAAGTCAAAGGAGAGAGAGCGCTTGAAAGTTGAGTGGGACCAGCACAATGATCGCAAGTTTGTGGACAGTCTTGTGAAAGCAAGAATCAAGGATGCCATGCAAGGTTTTATCATCAACACTGAAGAAAGACGAAATAAGTAAGGTTCACAAACTGGTGCTTCAGACTATAAAACATTCCCCAAACCCTAATGTAAGATCGACCAAAAATCAAGTAAATTTTTATAGTAAGGATCATAGCTGAGATAGTCATATCCTTACCCAATCAATAGCTCCTGCCTGTTTGTATTTTCACTTGTAATAACCCACATTTGATAGAAAGCAAAAGAATATATTGTTTTATATTTTGTTACTTTAGTTAAAATCTGTTCATACTCTTGTTGAAGATGTACATTAGCTAATTTGTATGAGATCAAATAAAATATGGCATGTCAGTTTCTGTTGCTTTAAATGAGGACTAGTCTTATTTTATAGAAGACTGCAATGATATTTTTCCCTTGCAAAATTTATGATTAAACCTGTGCTTTGGGGGCACTTGGGTGGCTCAGTCAGGTAAGTGTCTGCCTTTGGTCATAATCTAAGGGTCCTGGGATTGAGCCTCCCTGTCTGGCTCCCTGCTCAGCAGAAAGTCTGCTTCTCCCCTGCTCATGCACACACTCTCTCTCTCAAATAAATAAAATCTTTTTTAAAAATAAAAATAAACATGTGCTAATTAAATAAATAAAAGTAAATAAAAACCAGTTAGTAAAACGGCCCATGTGGCATGACAGTTTTACTTTTTTTGTAATTTTTTTTAGGCTACGTGAACTTTTAGCATCAGAAGAAAGTGGGTATTTTACTGAAATGCAGTTGAAAGAAGAAACAATTGAGGAGAAAAAAGATAGAATGAGAAATAAAACCAGATTATTGAAAGAGAAGAAAGAAAAAGAGAGACAAGATCTCGTGGCTGAAAAACTAGACCAGCAATTCAGGTAATGATATCAGAAAAACACACAGAATCTGAAGTTGGTGAATGAAAAAATGATTTAGACATACTAACTTATAGTAAAGTATGGCCTTAAGATGGTATACACGGTAGTTGTGCCTCTAAGTCTTGGTAATTATACACATCATTGGATAATGCAGGCACTGAGGTTCTGCTGTTGTTTTGTAGTGAGAAAGCTTTGGACCTACTGTGTTAGCAGATTTTAAATATGCAATATAGTGTTACTGTCTATAGTTACCATACTCTACATTAGATCCCCAGAACTTACTTACTCATCTTATAACCGAAAGTTTGTGTCCTTTGACCAACATCTCCTCATTTTTCCCACCTCAGTCCCTGGAAACCATACCATTCTACTCTCCATACATTCAGCTTTTTAAAATTAATTAATTAATTAATTATTATTTTTTAAAGATTTTATTTATTTATTTGAGAGAGAGA